AACGAAAAATTTTTTTAATTAGATAATATCCTCGATGAACTAAAAAAAATAGGAGAAAAGTATCAAATTGTAAGAATTGTGGAACTTTGAAAAATAGTAACGATTTTGAACAAAAAATTTTGACTTATTTATGCAGAAATAATTATTTATATTAATTTTTTATAAATGTTTTTAGTTCATTTAGGATGGTTGCCAATTATGTAACTAAAAAATCTTGAAAAAAGGCGAGTCAAATAGTTTTTGAGTAACCTTATACGCCACACAATTTCGGAAAAATGGTTTTAAGAAAAACGCGTTTGGTTTTCGCTATCAAAAAGTAATGTTTTTATCAACTTATCGCTAATCTGCTATTCCAGACTCATATAACAAACCTTCCGCTTCCTCATAAAACTCGTTTTGTCGCATTAGTTGCAATTTACGAACTGTACGAGCCTTTCTCGTGCTACTTCGGCGTTGTTCCTGCCTCGTAACTCGCTGCTCGTTGTAATTGTCAGCGAATATTTATTTCCAACAACTGCATTATCTTCAAAATGACAGAATAGCCTTCATTGAACGCACATGCGACAATGAAAGCGCTGATTTCGATTTTTGCACCAGAATAAGTGTTCTGAAGCGAGGCGCCAAATAAAAGTAAAATTAAAATTTTAGTTTGAATTTTGCATGTGTCTTTTTTTGAAAATAAACATCTACTAAGGTCAATAATGCCATGCTAGAAATCGAGAAGCGAAGCACAATTATAGGCGCTCCTGTCGCGCGCGCTATATACCTGCGCGAAGCGTACCTGTTCCTCAGGCTAACTACAAAAGTATTTCGAATTTTGGTTTAAAACTTTACGAGTATATTTTCTGAGAGTAATACTATTGATTAAAGCAAAAAAAAAAGAAAATAAGAATTTTAATTTTAATAAAAATAAAAAATTTTGACCGTCTAAACCAGATTCCTTCCTTAAGATAAATAGCATTACATGTTTACGATGATAGGGAAGAGAATGAGGTGCGAATACCGAAAAAAAAAAGTTAAATAGAACTGGCGATTACTTCAGTTGACTGTATTCCAAAAACAACTCTTACTAAAAATCTATAGTGCACATAATGTAATGTATTGCAGATTTTCAGTACTTGTAAATTTTGGAATGTAGTCATAGAAGTTTTTATTTAAAGAATATTGATTTTAAATTACAATAATTAACATTTATATACTATCAATATAAACCATAATTAAAAAAAAAAAAAAACTGATACAGCATCACTCCACATTGCGGCAATATAAGTAATTCCGAATAGTATGGGTTTTCTTTCTCATTTAAAATTTTAGTTTATATCAGCAATAAATTAATGTTAATTATCATAATTAAAAGATAAGTAACTATATGTATCTTTTGAATAAAGATTTTTATTAATAAATAATTGGCAGTTTTTTATTTAACTTTTTATTAGGTATCCGCCATTTCCCTACACTCCTCAGGTTTTAAGGTATCATAAATTAATCGCAAAATCATATTAACATCTAACGACAATCTTAAAACAAAAATTGATTATAAATAATGGCCAAAACTCCAATTCATTTATTACTATTTTATTTAAATTCTATTATATTTTACAAGTATTTGTAATTTTATTGCTTCCGCTGTCACAATCTGAAAGGAACATTCCAAAAGCGATATTAAAAAACTAACACTACTAGTCGAAAGATCACGTTTGAAGTAAATATTCTAGATAGTCAAATTTTGAGATCCTGTAGATTCTATACCCGATTTGATACGAAATACTTGGCAATTTTAACTTTGATACAAAATATCTCGAGAACAATATATTTTTGGAAAAAATATTTCAAATGAATGTTGTAGGGTTTAAAGAGGACTGTTAGATGAGCTACTTAAATTTTTGGTTTAGGATCTATTTTGGGCCCAATAAGACCCAGATTAATTTTTTTTCTATAGAAATGCCTACTTTTTATTGTAAATTCGTATCCTATGGAAAAAAGAAGGAATTTTGTTCCCCGTAATTTTCCGCTAAACCTCCTTTAATAAACGCAACATAGCGCTCAAATTCTTATTTTGAAATATATTCCGGCCAACGTAGGCAAGACCAGCAGATAATCCAGCCAATTAAGGTAATTTATTTTCAGATATAAAAAAAACGCCGGTACGTACTTTTGTATATCCTTCGTTAGGGCTATCATCTCCATCGGCTGAATTATTCACTGGTCTTCCCTTCATTGACCGGAATATATTTCAAAAGTACTTGAGCACTATTTTACGCCTATTAAAGGAGGTTTAGCGAAAAATTACCGGCAACAATTTCCTTGTTTTTTTTCTATAGGACAAATCTACAATACAAAGTAGACATTTTTATAGAAAAAAATTAACCTGAGTCTTATTGGGCCCAAAATAGGCCCTAAACCTAAAATATACGTAGCTCATCTAACGGCCCTCTCTCTTCAAACCATACAATTTTCATTTGAAATATTTTTTCTAAAAATGTATTATTCTCGAAATATTTTAATTGAAGTTAAAATGATCAAATATGATACCAAATTGGATGCAGAATCTATAGGATCTCAAGATTTGACTATTTAGAATATCTATTTCAATGTAATCTTTCGGCTAATAGCGTTAGTTTTTTGATATCGCTTTTGCAATTTGAAACGTTCCCTCGTGAGACACTAGTGAAAAACAACCAGAAGCTATAAAAAGATTAGCATCTCCCGCTTCCATTACTTATTTTACTGTTTTAAAACAGATTCTCAACTTTACTTTAGTTCAATGAAATGTAATTAAAACATAAAGTCTTATAAACGAAGACATAAAAAAACATTCTAAGGATAGAATTATATTAATTTTATTCTCAGACATCTTAACTTCTATTAGCACGATTACCCCATCCACGACGATGTGTGTCTTTATATTCATCCATTGCACGCAGTCGTTCGAGATATTCGGGATCATCTTTTTCTTCTTTTTTTTCCTTCAAAACGGTTTCACTATCCTCATTATTTGCCATTACATCTTTATTCGCTACATTTTGTAAACATCGAGAATTGGTTACATTATGTTGCGATGAATCGGGCCAGCTGAAAATAACACAAATTATTTGTTATTACCAATTTTTCTTATCAATTCCAGTTTAATAAAATAAAAGTTTATTGAATATACACTACTCAACAAAAAATAGGGAACATTTTTGAACACGCTCAAAATTGCGCAATATTCAGAACACAATAACTCTGAATGAAAAATTATCGCAAAAAACCAAAAAAGCATTTGAAAGCTTGAAATCTCTATTTGAAATAAGTAATTGATATTTCAATATGACTCATCCTTTATGGAGCTATACGGACACAAATGAATATCTGCCAAATCTGAAAATTGTTTTACAAAATTTAATAAATATGCAGTATAAGCGATCACACTCCAATGACCTAGACCTTGACATATGTTGTCAAGGTCATAACTCTGAGTGACCTCCAACAGGTTTTATCCGGCGCTCGTCCTTCGTTAAAAAGTTATTAAACAAAAACATTTTACTTGGGGGTACACAACTTCTACGCGAAGCGACTCCCACCCCATACCTCCTGCTTGGGGATGCATAACTTCCACATGAAGCGACTTTTGCCCCATCTCTTCCCCCCACCTCCTGCTTCGGGGCGCACGATTTTCCAAAGAAATATAGTTAGTCGTGCATTGACAGGGGAGAGGTGGGGTGAAAGTCGCTTTGCGTAGAAAGTTGTAAAATATACTTTAAAGCAGAAAATTTCTGTTTTATATAGTAAAAAGATATCAGTTTTCAAATTTCTTTTGTTAATAACTTTTTTTAACGAAAGATGACCGTCAATTAAATTCCTGTCGGAGGTCACTCAGAGTCATAACCTTAACAATACATATCAAGATTAAGGTTATTGCAGAATGATCCCTTATATATACTGCATATTTATTAAAATTTACAAAGGTCTATAGCATGAAGTAAAATTCACACAAAAATGCCGTTTACAGCATTCGAAAGAATGAATTTTTACTTTCAATTTGCTTTTTTATTGAGCTTTGTATAATTTTTTTCACCGAGTTATGAATGTTGAAGCAAAATAATCACTTTTGCTTCAATGTTGAATTAAAAAGCAAATTAAAGTTAAAAACTTGAAATAAAATTTTTACATATAAAAATAATTTGAAGCATTCGAAGGTTAGCTTTAAGCTATAAAATGTTTATTTCAAACATCGCTTCGTAATCTTTTTTTGCAGATACGTAAATCTTAACGTAAACTTTGGACGTTTTTAACGCTAATTCTAAATGATCCTTTAATGTCAAGATAGAATAACTTCGTCAAAAATGATTGTAATGAGATTTTTAAAAAAGTATTTTAAGGTTAAAATCTCTACTTTTAAAAAAGCATTTTAAAGATTGAAATTTCTATTTTTAAAATCGGTTATTGACATTTCAATCGGACTGATACTTTATGGAGCTATACTAATACAGACACAAATGGATACCTGTCAAATCTGAAAATTTTGTGCAAATTTTACAAAGGTCTATGACGTGAAGTAAAAATTACACAAAAGTGGGGTTTACAATAGTCGAAAGAATGAATCTTTACTTTCAATTTGTCTTTTTACTGAGCGTTGTACGATTTTTTGTCACCGAGATATTAAATATTGAAGCAAAAGTGATCATTTTTAAAGATTCACTCTTTTGACTGTTGTAAATCCCACTTATGTGTAATTTTTATTTCACGCCATAGATCTTTGTAAACATTTTCAGAGTTCGCGGATATCCATTTGTGTCCGTATAGTTCCGTAAAAGATCAGTCAGATTGAAATATCAATTACTGATTTCAAAAGTAAAGATTTCAAATGTTTTTTGATTTTTTTCAGTACTCGATCTTATTTCAAATAAATTTATTAAAATATATATTTTAAATAAAGAAAAAATTAAAAAGTTATTTAATGTTTATTATTTTAAATAACTTCTTCTGGCCTAATTTCTAATTTAATATAATATTTTAAATAAGTTGTATCAGTTTTTTATCGATTTTGTATTTTAAATAATTTTCTGGAACTTATTTTATATTCTTTATTTTAAATAAATTGTAGTCAGTTATGTTACCGATCCATAAAAATGACGGTGAGTACTAAAGTGGCGTTAGGTGATGCGGTGCTTCTATCTGTTTGTTCTCGCTATGGTCGCAATCCGCGAATTAGCGAAAATATCTCAAATATACCAGTGTTTTGTTCTATCATTTTGTGCTTCAACGTGCGAATGTTCTTATTTGTTTATAGTTTATTTTTGACTTCTTGAAGTAACTCGTCTATTCTACGGTTGACGATTATCTTGATTTTATCGCTCATAGCGGCGCTGTAGAAGGTAAGAACTCATGGACGCATCATTTGACGCGCGCGTCATTGAACATTTGATGCAGTTGATGCAATATACAGTCTCTGCAAATACAGCCGTACAATTTCTAAAGCTCAAGTTGCACAGCTAATTTGCAAAAATAGTTTTGAAATCTCAAATCTTCCAGTCTCAGAGTTGGGAGTAACGCATGATAAAAACCATGTTCATTTCGTTTTTGGATTCAAGGACTAACTCACAAATATTATATTTCTTTTGGCTCTTTCTTTTCTGCTTCTTTTTCATTAAAAGAATGCACTAATACTGCAAGCCTTTCCTTACGTCAGACATAGTACACGTATTGAACATTTATAATATTTGTACATTGTACTAGCCATTCTTGATATTTGGCGATTGAAGTCATTAGTAATTATTGATGACTATTTATTAACGTTGTGCACTTATTTCGCTAATGAAAAACAAGGAACTGACAAATGTCAAATGACGCGCCCATGAATTCTTATCTTAAAGCGCATTCTTTCTTGCCCATACAATCGCACGCAAGAGAATCCTATAACCGAAATTCTATCCCTATCATAATCAAATTTTTTTCGGGTACCCGGATATCTACAGATCCGAGCGAAACCGTCAACCTTATTTAAAATAAGTTATTTTAAATAAATTTTCGAAATTAATTTCTTATTTCAAGTAAGAAATAGTTTTCATAAATTTATTTAAAATAAAAGATAAGTTATTTTAATATTTTAAATAAAAGTTATTCCATATTTTAAATAAATAAATGCATTTTTCGGATCCTATATTTCTTATTTTATAATTTAACTCTTTGAAGCATACATTTTTCTTTACGTAGAATTTAGTTGAAATTTGTTACTCGGGGGGTTTTCGGGGTCGTTGATTACGAATCTGACCTCAGATTTTCGAAATTCAAAATAGTAGATCCAAAATGGCGGATCGAAAAGTAAAAAGTTACTTGATCGGAACGAAACTGAGTACTCGAGAGTTTTTTTCAAAATCGCGGATCCAAGAAAATTTCTATACCTAAATTATCCCTTAAAGTAATAATTGATGACAATGGATAGTCGGAGGTGGTCATCAAATTATGATATCATCTTGAAACATCATCAGTGGTGATGTTATACAAAAGTATAGTGGCCAGTAAAGTGCGCATGATCCTGATTATAATACGAGTCATATAATTATGTACATTAATGAATAATTAAATAATTGTAACTTATTAAAAAATGAATTGAATACCTGATTGTTATACAAAGTTGAATTATATGACTCGTATTATAATCAGGATCATGCGCACTTTACCGGTCACTACACTTTTGTATAATATCACCACTGACGATGTTTCAAGATGATATCATGATTTGATGACTACCTTCGATCATCCATTATCATCAATTATTACTTTAAGGGATAGTTTAGGCATAGAAATTTGCATACAAATGACTGCGACTTAAATACAATTTTTAATTTATAACGTTATACCAACATTAATAATGACCCAATAGAGGTCGAAACGTTTATTTACTTTATAAATATATTATTAGCACATATAACTTGCTCGGCTCGTAGTCCTTTCCTTTTCTATTAATATTTTACTAATTTTTTAAATTTGAAAGTAAGCATTATATTTATACAAGTCGTAATTAATATAGTTATTGTTTAATTTAAAAAAAATGGGTTACAATCATATAAAGTGTCTTTCCCCAAAAACTAAGCTATAAATTATTTTAGAACATTGGCGAAAAAGATTTCCGTAAAAAAAATTAACTTGCAACTACATTAGCCATACATTAGTAAAAAGTGATTAAATGTAAGAGTGATTTTGATGAAAAAAGTATCCAATATTTTCTAATTTTTTTTTTGTAAAAAAATTGTCTAAAAAATATTTTCTTAAATTTTCAAACATTTTATATTAATTTTATTTGAGATTAATCTTATTTCATTACAAAACAATACATAAAATAATAAAAATATGTTAAATCATAACGCGTATTAACTATACTTGATATAGTACATTTTCAACTAATGGACTATCTATAATGGGTATAATATTGTATACTAAGCCATAAGTTATAAGAAATTGATCCATCGATTATTCTTCTCATTTTAGATTGTGATTGGTCGATTTCTTACGGTTTACCATACTACTCTCATTATAGACGACCTTTAATAGTCTTAAATTTTTGACTGACGTAATCTCTACTTACTCTCCATCCTTGACCTTTTGCTCGTAAAACTCTTGCACCGTTAAGACTGGTAAACTTGGATAGCCTGCTCCAAAAACTTTCTTTTGTATTTCGTCACGTGTAATGATAATGGGTTGCAGTTTTGGAGCTGGTGATTTTTGCTTTTTTTGTATTTCAGAAGTCGAAGTATGCATCGGTTTCATTTCCTTCATATTCTCCAAAATCGTTTTCTCCCTTTTCAAGAAATTTAAATCATCAACGATTCGAACTGCATATAATTTTACAAGAGTAACAAAATATTCTCTCTTAAATTCGTCATCAATATTAGGATTATCTAAGTTCTTCTTTAAAGTATCCAAACGAGATTCCAAATCCTTCTCCTGTTGATATTTTTGTAACTTTGTATTTCTACGGATTATCTGAAATAAGCAGAATTAAAATAATTATACTTTAAAATAATTATAACAGTTTACAACAATCATATAATTAAAAAACCCAACCATATTCTCTAACATCCTTAATTCTGATGTATCTTCATTATCTCCTGTTTCCTTTTTCTCATCAACTGTACTAATTTGTGGTATTTCAACATCTGTTATCAGACCATATGCTTTTAGCCGCTTTAAAAAATCTATAAAATAGATTTCTGCTACTTTAACTAAATGCATTCTATCATCAGTAATGCATAACTGATTAGTAAGTTTTCCCAATAGAGCCGGTAATAAAAAATATTTGATATTCTCTGTGGCTACTTCTTCAAAAGATTCGTTATCGCTAAACATATCCACTATAGATACAAGTCTCGTTGCATCCTCAAACATACGCATTGTCCGTTTTATATCCAACTGCAACAAATAACAAAAAAAGAAAAAAGCTATTATAATTTTTATTGCAATAACGAACGAGTTCTACTTTAAATAGAAATAAATTTTATATACATGACCACCCTAGTATGTATGTACATCTATACAAAATTTATGTGCATACATACACATGGCGTCATAAATGCCTAATGCTCATTTCCACCAATGTAGATTAACTTTAACTTACTCTTCGTCTTTTTTTAATTTAGAATTAAGAATAATTAATTCTGAATTTGCAGGAATATAGAGGCATGTTTATATATAGAGGCATGAATAAGAGGCGCGTTCCTTTCTAAATATTTGGGGATTATGACTAACGGTTATTCAAAAAATGGTAATGTAAATTTAAAATTGAACTAAACTTAATATATAAAATATTTAAAATTTAATTAAATTTAAACTAGACTTAATCCAAACTTAATAATTTATAAGTAACTTATAAATAATGTATATTATTTTTCTTACAAGAATAAAATCGCGCATTAGATGCAACGTTCTGCAATTCTTTTTTATTTTCTCGAATTAATTAATTACATACGAGGTCTGTTCAAAAAGTATCGCGAATTTTGTGTTTTTTCAAAAATTATTTATTTATTCATGAATATCTATTTTGTCCCCTTCAAAGTAATCCCCATCAGATATTATACACTTGTGCCAACGTTTTTTCCAATCCTCGAAGCACTTCAAAAAATTATTTTTTGTGATCTTGTTCAGCTCCTCCTTCGATGCCGTCTTTATCTCCTCAATCGTAGCGTAGCGTCGTCCTTTCATGGGCCTCTTCAGTTTCGGGAACAAGAAAAAGTCACAGGGGGCCAGATCTGGGGAATACGGTGGCTGCGGCATCATTAGTGTGTTGTTTTTGGTCAAAAATTCGCGCACAAGCAACGATGTGTGAGCAGGGGCGTTATCATGGTGCAAAAGCCAATTTTTGTTCTTCCACAAATCCGGGCGTTTCTGGCGGATTGCTTCGCGCAAATTGCGCATAACTTGCAGGTAATATTCCTTATTGACCGTTCTACCCTGTGGCAAGAACTCATGATGCACCACGCCCCTGCAATCGAAGAAAACTGTAAGCAAAACCTTCACATTCGACCGAACTTGGCGCGCTTTTTTCGGTCTTGGCTCGTGCGGCAGCTTCCATTGGGATGATTGAGCTTTGGTTTCCACGTCATAACCATAAACCCATGATTCGTCACCAGTTATGACCCTCTGGAGCAAATTTGGGTCGTCGCGGACAGAGTCCAACAGCTCCTTAGCAATGTTAATGCGATGCTGTTTTTGGTCGAAATTGAGCAATTTTGGTACGAATTTCGCAGCGACCCATCTCATGCCCAAATCATTGGTAAAAATCGAATGGCACGAGCCAATCGATATGTTTAGGTCCTCAGCAACCTCTCTAACGGTGATTCGACGATTGGCCAATACTATTTTCTTCACTTCATCAATGTTTTCGTCTGTTGTTGACGTGCTCGGGCGTCCGGCACGCTCTTCGTCGTTCACATCTTCTCGGCCCTCTGAGAACATTTTGTACCACCGATAAACGTTGCTTCGGTCCAAGGTAGCTTCACCATATGCCACAGTCAACATTCGGAATGCGTCCGCGTACTTAATTTTGTTTTTCACACAAAATTTGATAGATTCTTTGATCCATTTTTTGGAATAGGCAAAAATCGAAGACGAGCCAAAACACGTGCAAGCAAAGCAGCTGTCAAAAATTAACTGAACATTCAAAATGGCCGAACTTGGCATAAGTGAGAGACATGAGTACCAACATAACGCCACAAAAAATCGAAAATCGAATATACGTAACCCGCGGAAATTCAAAATTCGCGATACTTTTTGAACAGATACATATTTATCAAAATAAATAATTAATTACTGGTCAATTTAATTTTGCCAGTAGTTTACAAGAATATATATCCTTATATAAAGATTATGCGTTTCGCGGGTTTCCTCCGTGTCCAGAGCCATTCTTGGAATGCCAACGTTTCGTGAACCTTGCACTCCACTTCATCAGAGCGAGGAGCCTGATACTGGCTGTTCTTCCGGGCCGTTCCTTTTATATTACGCTACTTGTTGGAGTGAAGGAAAGAAGAGAATTGTGGGTGGGGGGGGGGAGAGGTGGGGGAAATTGATCGGTCTTTAATAACCGGGAGAATGGTTTTCTATTGTATATTTTATTTATATTGTAGCCATTATCTCTATTTAGATTGTTAGGATGTTTTTGTATCTTTGTATCTTTCTTGGAAAGTATGATGTAATGTTGGCTATTGTGATCGTTTTTCAAACAGTATTTGATGTCCTGTTTTGATGTTGTGTTCTGATGCTGACTGCGTGACATGTTTTAGCCTGATATTACATTGGTATTCTTTTATCCGTAGATTAACCATTCTTTTGGTTTTTTTCAATGTATACTTGTCCGCAGGAATAAGGTATTTTATATACTCCTGCAGAGCTGAGTGGAGATCTTTGATCTTTAGAATTTCTTAAGATTTGTTCTATCTTTTTGGGTGAGATATTAAAGATAGTCCGGATATTGTGTTTGTTTAATATTCTGCCAATCCGATCTGTTGTTCCTTTGACATATGGGAGAATGGATAGGATCCTTTTATCTGATTGTGTGTCAGAGATCGTTGTTTTGTTTACAATTATTAATACATATACTAATTTAATAAGTAAATGTATTCATAAACAATAAAATTTAAACTTTTATTAGAAATGTATACATTTTCATACCCGATTTAGTAAAAGTACCTACATAAGCAAATTGCATCAATTTAAATAAATACTTTTTCTAGCAAATATATACACGGCACCATAGGATGTACAAGCTCCATGACCACATGCATTTTATATATTAAAATCTTCGCTTTACTATATATATAAATAGATGAGTCTACAATATATACAAATAATAAAAATTAAAAAGATTAGACAATTCTCTATGTATCGTAGGATATATAACAAACAAAACTATAGCATATATGAGGGTTATTTGAAAAGTTTTGAATACTCAACATGAAGATGGCATTACTCGTCAAAACTATGCTGGTGCTCGTACATGCTTTAAAAGATACCTGTGGAAATTGTAGTTATTGTGGACGCTCAGTTGTTGTTTAACAGTCATTTATGTCAGTTGATGTCAGTGTTTTTGTAAAAATAGAAAAAATCGAATAATATACCGTGATTAAGTTCTTGCATTTGAAAAGCAATACTCCTGCGCAAAAAAAAAGCCGAATTGGACACTGTTTACGAGATTCTGCCCCATTATTTGCCTCCGTGAAAAGATGGGTAGCTGAATTTAAACGTGGTCAAACCAGCTTGATTGATGATGAGTGTTCGGGACAACTAACAACTGCGACCACTACCGATAACATCGAAAAAATTCACCAAATTGTCCTGGACAATCGTCGAATCAAGGTTAGAGAGTTAATAGAAACTGTGAAAATATATCGGAAGAACGTGTTTATCATATATTGACTAAAGACTTAAGTATGCATAAGCTAACCGCGCGTTGGATACCGCGTTTGTTCACTGTGGACCAAAAACGCATTTGAATGAACATTTCTAAGGCTCTGTTGGAGCAATTTGAGCGAAACAAATCGGATTTTTTTTGTGTCGATTAATAACTGTTGATGAAACTTGAATCCACTACTTCGCTCCTAAGACGAAGGAACAGTTAAAACAGTGGAAAAGGTGAACCTGCTCTAAAGAAGCGAAAACCTTCATCGGTCGGAAAGGTGATGGCATTGTTTTTTTGAATAATCATGGAATTGTATTCATCGATTATCCTGAAAAAGATGAAATAATAACAGGAGTGTATTACGCATCATTACTTGACAAACTAAAGGCAAAAATTGCGAAAAAACGGCCCCATTTGAAACAGAAAAAAGTGCTGTTTCATCAAGATGACGCACCGTCTCATATATCGACGCGGTCGCCATGGAAAAAATTCACTAATTACAGTTTGAATTGATTGATTGACACCCACCGTATTCACCAGAGCTGGCCCTCAGCAATTTTTTTTTGTTTCCTAGGCTCAAAATTTAGCTGGGAGGACAGAGATTTTCATTAAACGAAGAGATCATCACATCCATAGAAGCCTATTTTGCAGAGCAAGACGTCAATTATTATTTGAATGGATTAAAGGGATTGGAGTATCGCCGAGAAAAGTGTCATCGACTTAAAAGGAGATTATGTTGAAAAATAAAACTGAATTTAACCGAAAAAATACTTGTTTCTATGTTAGGCTCAAAATTTTTCAAACGATCCTCGTATCTGCCAATAATGAACATTCATTCATATTCTTTTTCCTAATCAAAGTGTGCACTTTAATATAATATTATATTTATCCTCAATGTTTTTTCTCAATTAGAAATTATTATTATTATACACGGAGAGAGAAGAGCTCCATTATGTTGATATGATAGAATTTCTTACTTCAATAGTAGCAAACTTCTACGAGTAATATTTTAGTTCATGAAATAGATGCTTTTTATTTGCCATATTCATTCGTTTCGAATAAAAACATATCGAATAAATATAATTTCATCGATTTTTGAGCAAATGTGACTAAATTGAATAATTTATTAAAATGTATACTATTACTGTGATAATTTTGTCACAGTCAAATGTGTCAACTTTAGTAAATGTATACACTTACTAGTCAATGTATATATTTGTTATATAGGCCAGTCGGCAGAAGTTTGAAAAGAGAAAAAATTATAGAAAAGTATTTTATCGTTTTAATCGACAGTTTGAGGTATGATAAAACTAAATTAAAAAATGCTACAATTAATTAAGAGAGATACTTTGAAATAATGAAGCAATAAAGTTTTTTTTGTGTGTCAATTAAAACTCGATAACAAAAAGAGATAACGAAAAATGACATGAAAGCTTTTTATTGCTGCTAAAATTGCCTATAAAATGAACCCTTACCAAGTTTTGTACTATAATATAAATAGAATAAAGATACAATTTGA